TAGGAACCCCTGTCATAGAAGAAGCAAAAGCAAGTAAAAATAGGTGCAGTCAATTAATCAGAGAAATACAAAAGAGATTTGAAAACATAAGAAAGAAATCAGATTCAGTTTTACTCAGAGGCAAAAAAGTTTATTGGATCTGAAGAGAACCTACAGTATATTAAATGTGATTTTTTTAAGAAGAACCAAATAGATCTTTTGAAAATGAAAATGTCATATTAAAAATTAAAAATTCAATGGATGGTTCAACAGATTAGACACAAATAAAGAAGCAAACAATGAAATGGAAGCTAGATCCGAGGAAATCTCTCAAATGTGGCAGAGAGAGAAGGTAAAAGAGGTGGGAGGCACGTATGGGAGGCACAGTTGTGAGGGCCTGTGAGGAATCCTTAGCAAAAAAGACTGCAGGGGTGGGCAAGAGCAACATGCCAAAAGCCAATGATTTAGAATTTTCTAGATATGAACAGGACTCCTAAGAGCCAGGGAGTACAGAAGATTCTAGAAAGGTTAGAAGATAACAAATGTGCCAGCCTAGTGAGGTTGGTTCCTTCCTTCCCAGCCCACAGTGGTCTGTCCTCTACCCTCTGTGCCAAAGTCTCCACTCCCGCAGCCACGCCCTATTTCCATGCTCCTAGGGCTTTCCACCTCAGCTCCTCTGCAGGAATAATCACTCTTTAAAGTCACCCTAAAAGCACAAAGGCCTGAGGAGCCTCTACCCAGGCACAGAGCAGGGGACAGAGTGGCCTGGCCCTACAGACCACCTGAGGGAAGGGCGAGGTCAGACTGAAGCCACTCAGGGGTTACAGGACCCAGAAGTCCAGATGGGTGTGAGGTTGTACAAAGAGGAAAGAAACCTAGCCTGAGGAGCCAAGAGGTGGCAGAAAGGAGAGCCTCGTTTGAGGAAGAGAGGCTGAACACTGCAGGTTCTAAGAGTCTATAATATGATGCCAGGAGGGGTGAGAGCTGGGGGACAGAGTGGCTCCAGCTCCAGCTAGGGGCCTTCTGAGGATCAAATGGGAAGGAGCCCACTTCCTGGGGGAGGAACTAGGGGTATGGGGCTGGAATCCCCAGCTCAGGTTACAGGCTCAGGAAGAGCAAGCCCAACTCAGTTCTGGCTGCAGCTCTGACTGGGAGGCACCTTGGGGGCTGGAGGAGCCAGGGTGCTGACCAGGGCCACTGGCCTGGGTAAGGTGAGAGCAGCTGTAACTGAGCTCTTCCCAGGCGGAGGACAGAACACAGGGACAGGGACTTCCATGCTGCAGCAACACACCCAGAGCTCTGCATTAACCCCCACAGGAGAAGAGAGACCAGGGAAGCCCATCTCTCCCAGGGCCTGATTTAGGAACCTCTGCCCCGGTGGTCTTAGTGCAAGCTTTCATAGTGGTTGGTAGTCTGCTCCCTAAGATCGATTCTCTAGTTCTAAGAGTAATGCATTCACCACAGAACACTGAGAAAGCATAGACTAGTATTTTTCTAATTCCCATTTGCATCTTGCTCTATTTCCTTCCATTTTCTTTTCTACATGTATATACATGTTTAACATAATCAGTATCTCACTGTATAGACAGTTTGGGACCCTTGCATTTTTTAGTCCATGTGACATATAAGAACATGCCAGTCTTTATTCAAGCCTACAATAAATGTGCAGCACCATTGTTAGCGGCCACATAAATGACATTGTATAGCTGTGACAGAAGTTATTCAAGCTGGGTGCCAGTGGCTCAGGCCTGCAATCCTAGCTATTTGGGAGGCTGAGATCAGGAGGATCATGGTTCCAAGCCAGACTGGGCAAATAGTTCACAAGCCCCCATCTCCAAAATAACCAGAGCAAAAATGGACTGGAGATGTGGCTTAAGTGGTAGAGCAAGTAGTTTGCAAGCATGAAGCCCTGAGTTCAAACCCTAGTCCCACCAAAACCAAAAAAAGTTATTTAAGCCATTTTCTGGTGCTGTATGCTTAGGTGTTTCAGATTGCTTGCTATTTTACAGGAGAATCATACTGAGCTACTTCCCCTATCGTTCAACACCCTGATTGATGATTCCTACCTCTCCAGAAAGCCTTCTGGAACTATTTCACACCCAGCAGCATCTCCTTCTTTTGAACTCTGATAACCTGTAGTGCACCCAACACAGCATAGCACAGAGCCTGTCATTCACTGCTCTCTGACTGTCTTGAAGAAAGGGAGTGAACTGGCCTCAGGTCCAGGACTAATATCCCTTAGAAGATCCCTAGCACCTTGCACACAGCAGGTACTTAATACATGCTGACTGCTTAGAGCCCAGACTCCTTACCTAATCAGCCCCACTTGGCAAGGACCAGGATTGTGGCCTGGTCTGATATTGTACTTCTCCAGCCACGGTAGAGGTAAAAAGGACCCTTGCTGTCTGACTCTAACTTTAAAGGGCCAGTCCTTGCCAAAAGAAAGCATTGAGCTTTGGTTAAGACCAACATGGCTAGAGGCTCTTCCAAGGTGGCTACAGCTTTTCTGTGCTCATGCCACTGGTGATCACCAACTGCTGACTTCCACACCAGGGCTGTGTGGTAGGCCCAGGGCCCCAGCTCTGGTGCTGGAGAGCCAGGGTTCCGATTCCAAGCACTATGGTGGTCCATCAAAGGAGCTGGTGTAGCATGCCTACCCTATCTGCCCTGCACATATTACTATTGGCGGGTGTCCCTCTTCTTTTCACAGATGCACAGAGGTGTGAACGTTTGCAATCTCTGGCCCAGAGGTTGAAGTCCAAATTCCCAGCACAGCCTTCCAGGCCAGCCAGGTAACACTTCTCACATTTCCCCATGCTGCAGGGGTTCTCCCCAGCTCAGCTGCATCCCTCCCACTGCCTGGGATGTCTGTCACCTCACTGCTGCCTGCTCCCCTAGGGAGCTCCCAAAACTCCATAATTCAGAATTTGGCTCTCCCTTTCCTGCTGCCCCTTGGTCCTCACCACACCTGGATGAGATGGAGCTGCATGTGTCCTTCTACCCTGTGACACTTTAAGGCAGGGGTGGGTGATTCACCATGCAGATTTGCTGATTTGTACTGAACTCCCCACTCAGAGGCAATGGGAAGCAGGCCCAGAAGAGACCTGGCTGCAACACCTGAGAAAGTGTGTTTGTGCTGGGAGGGCTCAGGCCCCACCTCCAGCCCTGGGGAATGAGAAAAAATTTAAAATAATAGCTTCTATTTACTGAGCTCCCTGCATGCCGAGCACATGACAGACATTACAATTGCTCCCAAGTATCCCAATGGGGTGGACACAATTACAATCTTCAGCTTAGATGAAGAAACTGAGACTTAGACAGGTTAAGCAATCTGCTAGGTGCCAGGCTAGTAGGTGGCAGAGTGGGGTTTACACTCAGGCCCCTAACACCCAAAGACTAGCCTGATGGTAGAGACCCTTGAACACTGCAGAAGCACAGCCATATTCGTAACCAGTGCAGGAACTGAGAATTCTTCATGAGGACCCACAGCCAACAGCTCAACAGCTTAAGGCTCCCCCCAGAGACTTGGCTCCAGAGCCAGTGGCAACCTTCGCATTAGGTTTCTGATAAAGGCAATGCCTCCTGCACTTTGGCTCAGTTTAGCAACCTCTCCCCACTTCCCATGTGCTAACACAGAACCAGACACTGTGCTAAGCTATAGGGGGTAGGGTGGGAGGGCAAAAGACCTGTGACACTTTAAGGGTCCCTGTCCTGTAGGGAGGTTCAATGAGCACTACAGAGGAGGAAGGGAGGAGGGCAGACAGAGTGAGACTGAGGACTTCCTGCCATAGGCAGTGACCAAGCCCATCCTCAAGACTGAATGTCCCTCCACTTCCTGGGCCACCATGCATGCCCCAGGAACCTGCATTCCAGACACACTTGGTGGGTGGCTGCTAGAAAAAATGCTCTGCCTTTCCAGTCTGGGTCTTTGCTCAGCCACCACAGAAGTAGTCCTTTGTGACACAGACAAAAGCAGACACATGTGTACACAAGCCCCCACCTCCTTTAAAATTCCTCCCAGCAGCCAAAGCCCCACCTGTCCATCAGCATGATCATCCCCAAGACAGGACTATGCTCTGGTCCTCTGAGTCCTCACAACAGGCCTGTGGCTCCACAGTGGTGTGTATACTTCAGTGAGTGAGACACACACACATACATCCGAGCATGTGCACACACCTGCATCACTCATGTACACATAGGCATACACATAGGGAGTTTCACTGTATCCCCTGTTGTCCCTTGTCATAAATATCTGCTGAATCCAATTAAACAGGATGGTCTGCTTAAATACTTGGAGTCTTAAGGTAACTGATGGGCTCAAATTCTATGACCAATTCAAACCTGAAGATGTCTATGGCACAATTCAAGTAAAACAGTGGAGTGTAAAGGGGACTTCCAGCTGGGAAAACCGCAGACACCCACTGTGTCTTCACACCTCCCTCTCCTCCACATCTGAAGATGGAAGCTAGTCATACCTGGAAAGTATCGGTCACCACAGAGAGACTGTGACAATTCAACAAGGTGACACTCACAAGGTAGTTGGCATGAGACCTGCACATAGGATGACCCAGCAAGTGCCAGCTTGGTATTTTCAGCTGATCCAAGGGCACACACACACACACACACACACTCAGAGTCATCATAGTTCAAGAGCAAGAAACACAAGATTCCATTACTCAGCATTCTTCAAACCTCTTTGGCCATGACCCATAATAAGAAATCTGTCTTATACTGGGACACAAGCCACACACAATTGCAGTAATAGTTCCCTGAAACACTTATCCTCACAGCAGGGGCACATTCTCATATTGTTTCCTTCATCTCTGGGCATTTCCTTCTTTTTTTATTTGTGTGTGTGTGTGTGTGTTTGTGTGTGTGTGTATGTGTGTGTGTGTGTGTGGTACTGCGGTTTTAACTCAGAGCCTCATGCTTGCTAGGCAGGCACTCTACCACTTGTGCCAGCCCTCTCTGTGTCATTTTTAAGCTGACTTAAACAAATTACTCTCGGGGCCCTCACTCACCCAGGGTATCAGAGCCACTCTCCACCGTCTCATTGACCTTCCTTGCAACTCTGGCCACAGCCTCACCCATCTTCTTCAGCATACAGACGTGGATGTCTTGTTCCCAGCCCCCAGGCTGGTCTCCTGTTCACAAAGGGGCCTGTGCCTGCAGGAAAACACAAGGCCATGAAGCACCCACCTGCCAGCCAGGCCACCATCCCCAGCATCATCTGCCCTGGAGACCCAGGAACACACAGAGTGGGCTCCAGGTCACTCACCTTCTCTTGTGGGACCCAGAGTGCAGGCCACATCCAGTTTGGCCTTTGTAGAGGCTGATCTGCCTGTCAAAGATTGAGGGCAGCTGGGCCCTACCACTTTTCTGGTAGGATCAACGTGTATGACCTCACCAGACATGGGGCCCAGGCCTGAATCAGTGGTCAGGCAGGTGTGAGAACTCACGTGTATGTTGGCCTGTGACTCAACAGATGAGGTGTTGGGGAGGAGGTGAGGCCTAGCCAACTGCAGGGGAGAGATTCCTGTCCCTTCATCCCATGGCCGCTGAGCCAGTGCCCTATCCATCCACCTCTTCCAGCTCCCCTGCTTGCCCCACTCCCATCTTCCAGGCTCTTCCTTCAAGACAAGAAATGGGGACACCAATGCAAGTCAGAGCTCACAATCTGCAGGTAGGTGGTCTGTAAGAATTAATTCCCTTCCCATTTGCCAATCTGGAGGGAAGGTTACAGCACTTGTCTGCAGACCTTGTTATCAGCCTGATGCTGAGTTTATCTGAAGGCAAAGGGGAGGTGCTGGAAACTAGAGAAGGGAATTGGATCACTAGGGGAGAAAAGACTTAAAGAAGGGGGAGGAAGACAAAATTATACAGTGTTAAAGACATAAGGCATAATAAAATTGTAAGGTATTAAGATATAAAGACATAAAAAATGTTCCCAATTCCCTGTTTATTACAGAGAAAGGAACTAAGGCATAGAGAGTGGTTAAGTGACTGAGAAAAGGTCAAAGTGATCGAGCAGCAATAACCAGGTCAGGCAGGCTCTAGGCCTACTGTACCAAAATCACCCACATCACCACCAGCAGCACCCCACAAAGAGAGGCAGGAACTCCAGGTCAAGGTCACGGTCCTCTTTGCCACTGGACCCAGTCCTAGCTTCAAAGGCAGCTCAAGGAGCTCTAGTGAACTTGCTCCATTCCAAGGTCAAAGGTAGAGAATGGGAAGTGTAGAGAGGAGTATAGAGACAATGCTCACAGCTGCTGGCAGATAATAAAACAGAGGGCCCTCAGGGTCATCTGGACAAGTAATGTAGACACAGCCACGTCCACCTTTATTCCTGGGGGTCAGTGGTGCTCAGCATGTGTGTCCACCAACAGACTGACACTGAAGGTCAGAGTCACAAGTACAGTGGGTCAGGCCACATGCCCAACTCTACCACTTGTAGTAAGAAACCTTGGGGGCCTTTCTCAACTGCTTTGAAACCAGTTTCTTCATCTGAGTAGTGAATCTAGTAACTCCCACCTTTCTGAGTTCATATGACTGAGCCTCAGTTGAGCCCAGGACACAGAAATACTTAAGAAATGCTAGCTGGCGGGTTGAAGCAGTACACGTGCAGGTATGATACCAGCAACTAACCCACATGTAACCTGCGTGACTGAACAAATGACTCAGTGGAACTCATCCTTGAGGAATGAATAGAATTCCCACCTCTCCACCTTCAGGAAGTCTCCTCTGATTGCCCCAACCTTCAGTATTCTCCCCTCCCTATGAGTTTCAGTAGCACTTAATGGCTTAGCACAAGTCACTTGGGTTGTTTATGAGCTTTAAAATCACACACACACACACAGAGGTTCTCCACCACCCAGCTGTACTGTGCTTCTCCCCTGCACTCTATAACCACACCAAACACAGGTGCTCAGTTTTGTTCCCCAAGGATGATGGTCCACAGACATCATTTGGGTTTTAAATATGAGTACAAGTCAAATGACTCTTACAAACAATCTAAGGCACAGTCTAAATTAAAGTGTCATAAATTCAAAAGCTTACAAGTGTCAAATGGGCAACATACATATAGAGTACCAGTGTAGGACAGTAGGGAATAGAAAGGTCTGTGGCAAACTGGACCCAACACCTTCATCATGATGCCTTTAAAACCATCTCCCTAATCCTGAATCACAGCAGTGTTGCTGGAATCATGGTGACTTACTGCAACCACTTTATGAATGGGAAAACTGAGGACCCAAGATGGGAGGCGAGTCAGCTTGATGGAAACAAGAAATCCAGGTTTCCTAATTTCCAGCCTAGGATTCTTCCTATCATACCATGCTCTCTCTCCTCACCTCACCTCTAATAATCTTCACCAATAATCACAAACATTTGTTGAGTATCTTATGCTCTAGGTACAAGGCATAAGAATGAAGAGGGAAGAAAGAAAAACACAGGATCTAGCTCTGACCTATGATTCTGATGAAGAAGAACTTTCTAAACAACTGGGCTGAGATAATTTTCGCCTCACAGCAGACAGGGAAGGGAAGAGAAATCACCAAGGTGCCCAGGGTCTGAGCTGCCTAAACTGACTACTGTCAATCAGGCACTAGGCCTGTGACTCCACTAGCTGCCACTAGGTGGGACAGTGCCTTAGGGCATTGTGGAAAAGGAGTTCCATCGAAAGCCTCCCCACTGGGGGCAGCTCATGTGGCCTATGGTATGGGTCAGAGTGGATACCGGAGCATGAACAGGAAAAACATGCAAAGTCTGGGTATCGAAACAGTTTGCTAAGAAGAAGGACTCCTTGTATGCCAAGGATGTTCTGGGTACAGCACAGATGTGCTTTAGATCCCCAAAGGGAAATCTAAAATCATCACCTAAAATGTTAGCTGTCTAAAATCACTCCTCACTGCCTGGCTAGGAAGCCACCCTCCCTTCACCTAAAATTACTTCTCCCCCCCCACAAGGGAGAACTGCTCCACCAAGTCCAGCTAGCTGTCCCTCTCCCAGGCCAGATGACAAAGCAGGCAGCCTGTGAGATGGAGGGGCTCAGAGAGTCACATGCTGTACAGAGGAAGAAGGCTTCAGACCTCCCAAGGGAAAACAAACTTGGATGTCAAGGTGCTGGCATGGGCTCTTGGGGCCCCAAAAGGCACCAATAAGACCACTTAACTTCCCTTACTGCTTCTTTCACTCCCAAAGCTGAGTCTGTTTGACAAAAACAGCAAGAATAGGCGCTCAGAAAAAAAGACTGGCAGAGAGGGATAAAGAAAGCTGTTGCTTTTCTTTTCTTTTCTTTTGAGAAAACCAGAAAATTGTCCAAATCACACAGAAACAGTGAAGAGTTGTGGACTTACTTCAGATTGACTACAAAGCCCCCCCGAGACAGGACTGCCTCTAGGGTGTGAGGGGCTCCTGTCTATACAAACAATTTCAGTCAACTCATAATCCACATGTCAGCACCATTTGAACAATGGGGACACAAGGCAGCCTTCCTGGAACCAGGCCCAACTACAGGCCTCCAGAAAGCCCCTCGGGGCCCAAGTTCTGGGCTCCTGGGAGGTCAACCCCACACACAGGGTGGTGATAGAAAGGGTCGAGGGATCTCCAAAAGAGAAGCAGGAGCCATCAGGGTCTGATTTGGGCTTGAGGTACTCCAGCTAGATGGTACTAGTCCCAGGCCTTAAGGAGGTTGAGGGGAGTGTTAGAAATTTTCAAGGGAAGCACACCAAATCCTAGTGACCCTCCAACATAGGGTCTAAGGCCTTACCCACACTGCTGCTGTCCAAATCAGTGACCCTCTGACATAGGGTACAAGGCCTTACACTACTGCTGTCCTCACATGTTCCTCTCTCACCTCCCCACCGACCCTTGCCCCAAAGCATGCACACACCATGGTCCCAGGAAAGGTTTAAATGTAATGAATATCTTCTGGCACTTTCCGTAAGGGGAGTAAAGTGACACAGACTGGGTATGGGCCAGAACAAGCTTTCCACTGGGAGGCAGAATAAGCCAGATGCCAGTTCAGCCATGCTACCAGGCCTGAAGGCCATGAAGCATGTGACATGGTCCCAGGGGAAGGAACAGAGACAGGATCCAGCCGGTGTACTGGAGATGCAGAAGAGAGGGAGACAGACCCCGGTCTGTTTCCAGATTACTGGAGGCCTTCCTATAGGGCTGTCCTCTGCCAGGAGCAACTAACCCAACCAGCATTTCCGAAAGTTATCAGGGTTGCAAAGCGCCCTATTTGTAAAATGGAAATGCTACCTTCCTCAATGGGCTGTTGGGAAAAGTAACTGATAAGTCATTTTTGAGGAAGGACTTTAGAACTTTGCAAACCATTAAGTCCTTCTCACCAATAAATAAGTGAAGAAACAGGAGCGATAGGAAGTTTGGCTATAATAAATCGAATGTCCTGCTTTGTGGGAGCTGCCAATACTGCCCTCCTATTCTGCCAGATCAGAACCCGGTTTCACCTGGATTCAAAGTTGAGCGGGAGGAGGGACCCGCACTTAAAAACCTAACTGTGGCCCTCTGACTAGGCCCTTACCAGCAAGAACTCTACCTTGTCTGCGGTCCCAGGAGCCGCTGCGACACCACGTCCGCACCAGCTGCTCCTATATTTAGTTACTGGTGTGGTCAATTGGGAACTTTAGAGCCTGGCAGCAGCTTGGACCAGCAACCGGAGCCTCCAGAGCCATGCGTGCAAGCTGCCCCCACCGCTGCCTCTGGTCAGGCCTCTGGACAGTGCCAAGCCGAGGAGCAGGTGTGGGGAAGTGAGGGACGGGGGTTTTGCTCAGAACCCAGGAGCCTTACAGGCCCACTCGAGGCTAGAACAGAATTGACCCACTTTCCCACCCAGGGGAAAAAGCCAGCCGGGTCGTGGGCAGGACGCGTCGGCGCCCTGTGTCTGCGCCATGGGGTTTGGGGAGCCCAGCGCGAGCTCCCTTATGGGTTTTTTAGCATCCTAGGACTGCGCTTCCCCGGACTGTAAGCGGTGGACAGGCCAGGATCCCCGTGCCCCGCACACCAGGGCCTCGTCTCCCTGCCTCCCCCCACCCCCGCCCAATTGCCTGCAACCAATGGCTCCTGGTCTTTGGTCCCCGCTGGCCTGGAAGGCGGAGATTGGGGAGAATAAAGCAAAGAGAAGAAGGTACGTCGTAGAGGGCCGGGGGCGTCCCGGTGGAGAGGCAAGCTTCAGGACAGGCGCCTGCAGCTCTCCAAAGCGGAACCAAACCCCAAAAGTGTCGCGTCGGGGACAAAATACACAGCAACCTCTCCCAGCACCGGCGCCTCCCTCGGGAAACGGAAGCCCGCCCGGGAGCGATTCCCCCGGGCTCCCTAATTCCCTGGAAGCCCTGCACCCACTCCCCCGAGCCATCGCGGTCGAGTCGCAGTGTGCAAGCAAGAGCCGGCGACTCCACGGCCCCATGGCACTGCAACAGCCGCAGCTGGGGCGTCGCTGCACTACTCCACCCGGTGATTTGGGGGAGGGGAGGGGACACTGCAAAAACCGGGACACGTCTCTCCCTCTCTCCCCCAAGCCCCTGCAACGCTTGGCCTCAGACTACGTTTACTCTGCGGGACACGAAGCGTGTGGCCCAATTCCGGGCGGCTTTCGGCTCCACTTACGGCGACAATGCCTCCTAGCGCCCTGCGCAGCGCAGTCACGCTCCCTCGGCCACCAGCGGCGCCCCATGCAAGTTCGGAGCCCGCGGGGCGTGGCGCGCGGGACCGCCGGCATTTCGCGCATGGCCTCGCGACCAATCGCCGCTCCAGGACGGGAGACGGGGCGGAGCAAGCCCAGGGCCCCGGGGGCGCGCACCAATCAGCGCGCGCCTCTTCACGCGCGCTCCCGAACGCAGGGAGGAACCGCTTTGTGTGCGGCTGCTGGAGTTAGACCCGCTTGTAGCCCTGAATATACAATGCATCCTGGGATCAATAGGACTGAGGGTCCAGGCTTGGTTTTCTCGAGGGATAGAGCTGAATTAGCCAGATCAAGGGTATTTTGAAAAAAACGTGAAGATGGAGAATGGGGAATTTTCCATATGATACCTTCAAACGCCCGTTCAGGTTTTTAAGGACCATAATTCTGGCTGCACCGTTACTTACCTCTTAGGAAGCCCAATGTTTTGATCCATAAAATAGGAATCAAAGCATATAAATACCTCCTTCATTGTGTCATTGTGAGGATAATGCATGGACTGTTCAGTGCAGTGCCCATGCCCAGAGGTCTTCCTTTTAGCAAGGACCTACCACATACCCCTTTCAAGCATTGTAGCAAGACAAAGACATGAGACCCCCCCACCTCACCTAGTCACAGTGATAAACCTGTCAAGTACTTTAGTGAACAGAAGCATGCAGTAAGTAAGGGGAATCCTGCAGAAAGTATATTTATTCTGCTTTTGGGGGCTTAGGCAGTCCAACAAGGAACACACATTTCCTTGAGCACTGATGTTATGAGTTGAATTGTGTCCCCACCAAATATATATACATAAATATGTAGATATATATTGCATATGTAATTAGTTAAGATAAGGTCGTGCTGAAATAGGGTGAGCCACTAATCCAGTATGATTGGTATTATAAGAAAAGAGACACACAGAAAATATCATGTGATGATGGAGGCAGAGATGGAGTGATGTGCCTATAAGTCAAGGAATGCCAGTGGTTGTGGACAAGGACCAGAAGCTAGGAACAAAGTCTCCCTCAGATCCTCCAAAAAGAAACTGACCCTGTCAACAACTGCATCTCACAGTTTCAGAACTGTGAGAGAATAAATTTGTGTTGTTTTTACCTACCCAAACGGACCTAGTGGTGCATGCCTATACAGCCAGCTGTTCAGAAGGCTGAGGCAGGAAGATCATTTGAACTTACAAGTTCAAGACCAGCCTGGACAACATAGCTAGTCCCCATTATAATAGGTACTTAGAAACTGATTTTGCAAAAAAAAAAAGCACTCACATGAGCCCACAAGTTAACTAAAAGCAGGAGAAAAGCCTAGCACATCTGCCTTCAGTTTGCATCCGTTTCCTTCTTTTGTCTTAAAACTTTGGGTCAGCCAGGTGCCAGTGGCTCAAGCCTGTAATCCTATTTACTTGGAGCTGGGATCAGGACGATCAAGGTTCAAGCCAGCCAGGGCAAGTGGTTCGAAAGACCCCCCCCCATCTCTAAAATAATCAGAGCAAAATAGACTGGAGATGTGGCTCAAGCAGTAGAGCACCTGCTGCAAACGTGAAGCCCTGAGTTCAAACCATAGTCCCACCAAATAAAAATAAATAAATAAAATATTTAAAAGCTGCTTAAAAAAAACTTTGGATCAGACTTCTACTCAACTCTGCACACAGGCATATTAATTACTCAAAGAGTGTCTTCTGAAAATCTGTGATATGAATCTACTCATCCTCCTTCAAAACCAAAGATAAGAGTAACAGATTCATCTTACTGTCAGCTTTTACAATGTCTTGTTCCAAAACCCTGACAAGACCCCTGAAAATCTCCACTCATCGTCCTAAACCTGTAGTCACCTTGGATTCCAGGAACAGCAGACTTCACAGACATATCACCCAATGATGAGATCACCCCCACGCAGGAGCAATCATCTCATGGGATCTGGACTGTCCCCTTGAGCAGTAGGACTTCTAGCTACCTTGCAGAACCAGACCTGAGATAGTGATCAACCAGACCATGCTTTGACCAAGACTGCTTAATTGTGTATATCTCTCACCCCTGCCTCAATTCCTCCTCTAAACCAAAATATTCATGTCAGTATCCCAAACATGAACTGCTTACTCTCCACCTTCCCAGAATAGCAGGGATTTTTGGCCGTACAAGACTTGAACTCTGGGCCTTGCACTTGTACTTGCTAGGCAGACACTCTACTACTTGAGTTGTCCCCAGTCCTTTTTCACTTTTAGTTCTTTTTCAACTAGGGTCTTGTGATTCTGCTTGGAGCTGGATTTGGACCTTGATCCTCCTACCTGTGCTGTCCTATGTAACTGGGATGACAAGCATGGGCCATCACACCCAGTTTATTTCTTGAGATGAGGTCTCACTAACATTTTGCCAAGGTTGGCCTTGAACTAAGATTCTCCCACTTTCTGCTTCCTGAGTAGCTATAGGCATGAGCCACTATGTCCAGCTTTCTGTTTTCTTTATTTGGTTGGTGGCCCAACCTGACATGTTAGAACCCTCAGAATCAGGCTGCTGGTCTGGAATTCTGATTATACCATCTAAAAAGAAAAATATTAAAAAAAAAGAAAAACCTACTCAGAGTGTGGCATTTGTCACATTAGCCCTAGGAAATGAATAAACATAGAGCATCTCCAATCCAAAAATTCATTATCTAGGGATGGTGGAGGGCTCAAGTGGTAGAGCAACTGCCTAGCAGGTGCTAGGCCCTGAGTTCAAACCCCAATACCAGCAAAAATAAATAAATAAATAAATAAAATCTGAAATGCTTCAAATTTCAAAACTTTTTGAGCACCAAAATGATACATAAATGGAAAATTCCATACTTAACCTCAAGGGACAAGTCATAGTCAAAACCAAAGTGCACTAAAAACATTGTGTAAGGTGAATATGGAACAAATAAATTTTGTGTTTGGACTTGGGGCTGGTTCCCAAGCTATCTCATTATGTATATGCAAACATTCCAAAATACAAAACAAAAACCTGAAATACAAAATACTTCTGGTCTCAAGCATTTCATCCTGTAATAGGTGAGTAGGAAAAAAAAAGGAAGAGGATAAGAAATATCCTTAAAGGAAGTCTTTTAAAACTGAATGTCAAATACCTAGAAGGCCCTGTGCCTTAAACCGACAGAGGTGATCACACAGAGACCTACCCTCCATGGGGTTTCCAGTTGAGTGGAAACCTGAGCAGCCAGGATTGTTTGACTCCTGGTGCCTTCCAGGAAGACTTCAGAGGCCTCTTCCAACTCCTGTCAGCTATATACCAAGTACCTGATATGAATAACAAATGAGTAGAGATGAGTTCTGCCCAAGCAAAGATGCTCATTATTCTGGACAAGAGGGATACTGTTTCACTTAAAACCAGCCCTACAGTTCTGGCCAACTTCTACACAAGCCAGGCTGTAAACATACCTGAGGTAGCCAGGGCTTCCATGTTTCTGATAAGGACTCAGCAAGTACTACTGACTGATGGCATCAGTCTCGGTTTCCCACATGCCTGCGTTGCCTCACCAGCCCCACTCCCAGGAAGTTCATCCTGGACCCTCCCACTCCACAAATGAGCCCAAGGGCCACCTCTAAAAGGCCTACTGTGTTTGCTTTTCTAGAACACTTGTTACCAATCAACCCAGCCTAGACTTGGGTTCTTTTGCTTAATTCAACATAGAAATCACAAAGAGGCAAGAAATACCATCTGAATGAGGCTTTATTGGGACTTACGTTCCAGCATAAGGGAGAAGCACATGGGATAGAGTCCACGGGTTACTGCCCAAGGAAGTGAACAGGTAAGCTTATATAATCTGAAGTGCTCACTCTTGCCACTGGAGGAGCAGCGGTCAGAGCCGGCATTCTGCCCCAACCTACAAGCAGAGACTCAGTGTTTACCAGGGCTTGGACACAGACCTTGATGATACTTGAAAGCCTTGTGAACTACCTATAGGTAGCAAACTTCTTGTGCAAAGACAAAATTGTTATGCAGTTGCTCCCTAAACAGCTTGCCCCTTGCTGAGCAGGATAAACTCTAAATTCTGTGGAAGGGATACTGCCCCTAGACAGAGCCAGCCTCTCAACTCCTATAACTAAAGACTGTGATGGGGACCTTCTCATCAAAGGATTTCTAAAGGCAGTCTCAAGGCCTTTATAGGTTGATTAGTGTCCTCTTACCCCTCCCACCCCCAACAGATAGGTATCAGGCACAGTGGTATATGCCTATAATCCCAGTTACTCAGGAGGCTGGGAAGGAAGATCATGAGCACAAGGCCAGTCTGGGCAATATAGTGAGACCTCATCTGTACGTAAATGAATAAATAAATAAATAATAA